TCCTGTTCCTTACCATGTTGGCCAACATCTTGGGAATGACTGTGCTAGTGAGCAGAACCTCCAAGATGGAGAGGTTGGCAATGAAAATATACATGGGTGTATGCAGTTGATAGTCAGCAAAGACAAGCATGATGATGAGGAGGTTGCCCATCATGGTCACAGTATAGATGCTGAAGAAGGTCGCAAAGAGGAGGACCTGGAACTTGTAGGTTCCAGGGAAACCCACGAGGATGAACTCAGTCACAGAAATGGTCAGATTCTCCATTTTAGCCTCTGAAGGAAGTGACAACCTAAAGACAGAGGGAGAAATGTGAAAAAATGATAGATACTGCCTTTTAAGAGATTTTTAGAGTTCTTCAGTCCCTTTTCAGTCAATGGTAGTAGCAATTGTTCAGCATGCTAAATAATCAAATTCAAGGGATATATTTTATACAGAACTGTAGAACTGATCTGGAATTTGGCTGACAAATTTTCGTTATCCAACCAGAAATTCATAAAAAGCAAAAGGAACATTCGTGTTTCATATCAGCATTTAAGCCTAAAAGCTAAGAGTGCTTTCCATCAGGAAATCTTTCCAGGTAGGAGTTCTGTGTATTTGCTTCCTTTTTTCTTTTTCTTTTTTTGGTACCAGCTTTTATCAGTTCTCATGCTAAGTACCTATATAGATTACTGAATTCAGATGGAACTATAGTTTCTTGGTAACTCCAAAAATCAGGTTTGCAATGGTGGACAAAGACAACAAATCACAAACACAGATTTTCTTAATACCTGGGACACTACTTTGCCAACATATCTCTATTTGAGCTGGCTGAATACTTCCAAGAAGTAGAAAAGGGCCTCCAATTCAGTCCTCATTTTTATCTAACACATCCTTCTTGATGAATGTGCCAACCATGGCAGACAAGGTTCCTTGGGTGAATTTGATATCTTTTATTAGACCAACCCAAATGGTTGGAGAATAGTTATTAAGCAAGCTTAATAAACTATTCTCCAACCATTTGGGTTGGTCTAATAAAAGATATCAAATTCACCCAAGGAACCTTGTCTGCCTATGTCCTTAGACCAACACGGCTACAACCTAAACCCTAACCATGGTAGAATCTTATCAAAACCCAGACTCTTTAGCAAAGGGTGAGCTAACATTGATGGTTTAATATTGCAAATCATTAACACTTAGTTGGGTACTGGACACAGTGTAACAAGAGGCCCATCCCAGTTCAGTGTTTCTAACACTGTCTCAGCCCCTTTAATATCGATCTGCAAATTTATGGGTATCTAGTCCCCCTAACTGGAGCTCCTTTATTATTAAAGGAATGTCAGTAGGTGATGATCCAAAGCAATGGTGCACAAACTACAGCCTATACAGCTAAGTCCAGAACTTTGGTGGAGGGGAGTGGTAGCAGCAATTAAAGCTGCCACTGCTTCTCTGGATCCAGTGTTCTGGGTTGGTCTGTGGCAGGCCCCAATGCAAAGAGCTGGGATGGCATGCTGAGGTCAATGCACAGGGCTGGAAGTGGTGTTGGGTCATTGCCAGATTTAGCACACAGGGGTGTTTTAGCATGGGGGTAAGTCCATGCCCAGACCTGGTGAATAGGTCAAGTAGATATGTGGGATGGGGACAGATCTCACATTGATCACACCTATGGTCAGACTCCAGATGCCACCCCCATGTGGGATTCAGCCTGTGAAATGATCCGGTATATGGGATCTGGTGAATGGACAAGCCCACTGCCACTCATCTGGCTCACAGGGCTGAACAGGTTGAATACCACTGACCTAAAAAAGAAAAGGTGCTACATCAATTAAAAAGATAGATTTCTCAGGGGAGATGCAGGATAAAAGCATTTCATCTAAGTTAAAGTATTAGATCAGCATGGTGAGACACATACATTAATTCATGGGTTGTAATTTTGGATATTAAACAAAAAAGATGAGAGAGAATTAAGGCCTATACAAATGTACCAAAGGTGTTTAAGGCTATGTACATTATAAGGATATGCACATATCAGCATATGTACATTTTAGCCACTTTTTAAAAGTGGCTAAAATGTACATATCCTTATATATCACAAAAATCTTCATGCAAAAATGGTTAAAAAGTTAGATGAGATGTGATAGGGAAAAACAGGGCAGCAAGAGCACTCTCAAGAGAAATAGCTATTGTTTAATGTTTGTGCACAATATGTTTGAGATGATATAGGAACATTTGCTGGGAGGGCAGAGAAAAAGCATACAGCTAGAAATTTGTTGAATATGGAAGAACTAGGAAGTAGACCTATAAGAAGACACAAGAGATGATGAGTAGATTAAATAAAGGAAAAAAGATAAAACTACAAAGCCTAACAGAAGCCTTGATCAATGCTAAAACCACATGGAGAAGGTGAATTTAAACTGCTTTTCAACCCTGTATAGGGCTAGACCAGAAGAAGAGAAGTAGTAGAAGCACAGGAAGAAGACTCTCTTTAGCTGTGGATGAACTTATGGGTCGACAGCACCAAACGGCAAGCTTTTGCCCGGATTCTGTTCCTGTTTGGCTGTAAATCTGAATTGCTGTGTGAATGAAGCAGGTTTTTCCATTTCATGTTTTTTCTCACACACAGAGGTCAGGAGTCAAAGCCTTTCTCTGTTTCCAAGACTCTTTACCCCTTATCACTCTTTCTGTCTTATACATTTCCTTTCATTTCTTTCCTTCATTATTTTATTGCACTGACACAGGGATCCCAGTTATAGATCCTTAGCCCCATTGCACCAGGCACGAACAGTGAACAAGCGGATAATTTTGTCTTTTCAGAATGTTACTGTGATCCTGCAAACTTACTCTTGAACATGTATGGGACAATTCAGATAATGAGAAATCAGGAAAGTGCAAAGATCTTTGCAGGCTTGTCCCTTCAGGCTCTTCCCTTCTCTTTTGATTCACCTGACTAACTTCCTTGCCAACAGACCTCTCAGCCCAGGGCTAGGTACAGACAGCCTGAAGCAGAATCAATCTAAGTTACATGGTTTTCTGTCAGCGGCATAGTTTAGACTGGTAAGGAATAGGACAGAGATCCACCCTTCGGTGAGGGGGTGGAGCGTGCAAATCTTAGGCCAGGTTCTGCCACTTTTAAACCAGTCTGTGTGCGACAAAATTCTGTTCTGTTCAAGTTATAAACTGGTTTTGTGTAATGAACTTCTGGTCTATTATTGGTACAGACCAATTTCTGATCACTTATACTGGTAAAAGTATAATGTCTGTCCCTGGCCCATAAAACAATAAAAAAAAAATGAGCACCAGTGGTAGCACTAATTGCTTCATTTAAAATGTCACAAAATCTAGAAATATGAACCCTTTACTCCCTCTCTCTCTATTAGATAATCCAAGATTGGTTCCAAACACATTTTTAAACGTTCTAAATATCGGTCTTCACTTTTCATTCTTTAAGGATAGAGTTTGGTAAATACTTACCATCAGGAAATAATGCTGGTTAGCAAAAGGTATCCTCCAGCTTCTGAATAAACTAGATTTCATAGATTTCACAGATTTCATAGACATTCGGGCTGGAAGGGACCTCAGAAGATTATCGAGTCCAGCCCCCTGTCCCAGGGGCAGGAAGCCAGCAGGGGTCCCAGGATCCTGGCAAGATAAATGTCCAAATGTCTCTTAAAGGAGTCCAGAGTAAGTGCTTGCATCACCTCCGGCAGCAGTCTGTTCCAGGCCTTGGGGGTTTGGACAGTAAAGAAGTTTTTCCTTATGTCCACCCTGAAACAGTCTTGGAGGAGTTTGTGACCATTGGACCTTGTCACCCCTTGGGGTGCTCTGGTGAACAGGCACCCCCCTAGTTCCTGATGCGCACTCCTTATGTACTTATGCTTAATTCTAACAGGAGTTTCTCATTTCATAGGAACTGAAAATTCTGGGCTCCAAAAATCTTAAAGTAAAATCAAAATAAAACTATTTTTCAGGCAGCTCTTTGGTTTTTCAGTGGCAAAATGATTTTTAAGGAAAGCAAACACATTTTAAAAATACATTAAAAAAGGTGATTTAAAAAAAAAATCAATCCTAATTATTTCCTACTCCTTCCACAAGGAGAAAAATGCATTAATTGTACCTAGGACACATTCAGGGATTAGCTCAGAGCCAGGAATTTTGCACAGGATCCCATTGTACTTGAGGGTTTTCTCTTATTCCAGTGACAGAGTGAACAGCGAACAGACAGAAATAGATAAAGACAGAATAGAGAGGAAGGTTGACAGAAGGAGAGAAAGGAAGGGAAGAAAACCAGACTTCATATAATTCAAGATGTTCAGTATGCATTTTTCATCACTGTCCTCCTAGCTAATTCATTTTTATTGCTAGTGGAATTCAGATTATTAAACAAAAGGATATAAAATAATAGTTAAAGTTGAAGTGACATTAACATTCTTGAAAATGCTAAGCCATCCAGTTTATAAACCTACATAGAGAAATGTATTATATTTGTCTGTTAACAGAAGAAACATATCATCATTACCTTCAGCAGCAATGCATCTGTGCCAAATATTGAAGTTTTTGTTCAGGCCCAGCTTTCTGATGATATTAAGGAGAGTTCAATATGAATAAAAACATGGAAAGAGATCCAGAATTTTTCCCCGGTATTTATGGAATAAAACTACCAGAACACAAAGAAGTGAGATACTTTGGTAGTAAGCGACTCTTACAGAGCAAAATAAGCATATTATTGAGACTGTGCAAGACAGAGGGAGAGCAAAGGAGGGAGGGAGAGAGAGAGAGAGAGAATGTATTTCAGTAATCTCTTTCATTTCCCCATAACTGAGAAGCAACTACCCTGGCCCAGCCAAAACAGACCAGTTCCTGACTGAGATGAGACATCAACTGTGCGTGTATAAATTCCTTTTCCATTGTCCTGAAAGGATGAGCATGCATCTTCTTAGATACGTTGTGACAGAATCTCTCCTCGAGCCAAAAGAGACAGGTAGGTGGAAGTCAGGTATTTAAGGCCAGAAGTGGAATCTGCCAGTTCCTAGCTCAGCTCTCACCTAAACTGGGGGAGGGGAGGGGGAATGGGATTCAGCTCCATGAGCACCAGATTTTGTGACAATAAAGTCCTCAAGTTCTATTTTGGCAGTGCTGAATCACCTCAGTCTTGATAGCTCTGAACAGCTTGGCACCAAACGCCTTCTTAAGCCTGACTAGGATCTGGAAAATTGTGCTTCTCTGTGAGAGTGCCTCAGGGGCCTAAATCCTGTAGTAATTGCGAAAGCGCACTGCAGAGATGCAAACGC